CAGTACTGTACATTAATCTGATAGGAGTATAAATGACCAGAAATGCTGCTTTTCTTTCTGCTCTATCCCTCAATTCAGAGACCCGTCAACAGCTACAATGGTCTGAATTTGAATTTGATCTATCCAAAGGAGGTCTCAGGGTCACCTGATCCAGCTCTGACTGTAAGCTTTATCACAATGGAAAGTTTAAACCCTGACCTTAAAAGTAGAGTTGGTGTTTGTCTCTTAAACCTGAGGAGCTGGAGCTAAAGGAGGGCAGATAGCTTCTGCCTTCCACTCTCATAAAGTAGCAGGTTGCTTGATGTGGGGTTTCTTGTCATTTACAAAGACTGTTTGAAACTCGCCCTTTGAGGACACAAAGACAGTTTGCACCCTCCCTGAGGAAAAACAGAAACTTAAGGTGCCCCATTAAGACAAAGGTCACTCATACAGATACAGGCAAAACAACAACTGTACACACATTAATTTTATTGAGTAAATTATTTATTTTACAGGTGATTGTAACACTCAGAGAGCATTCCTGTCTTATTAATGTCAGCTGAATACCCACGGGGCTGTAAAACCTTATCACTGTCCATGTTAACAATGAGCAGCCGTCATGCTTTGTGTGCAACATTTCAGGTACAGCGTACTAGATTAATTTCTAATTATTTTTTAGTGTGCAGAAAGCAACTTGTTTTTCCCCTTCCTGCCTATTTTCATTCAAAACCTGCTGCATAACTTTTTGAGTTTTTGTGCTGACCAATGCTGCCACCGACAGGATTGTCCTAAAACTGAATGAATCCAGGCTGTACTGTGGTCTTAAAGAAAGCATGTGTGTGTACTTTGAGACTTCAGCTGCATTTAAACACATAGTCCGTTAATAAAAAGTCGTTTTAATTAGTGATTAATTGATATCTAATATCATTTATTTTGTTAAATTTGATTATTCATTGACTAACTTTCCATTTTTTTCACTTTAGATTTTCTTTTTTAAAGCACCTCGAGGGGACTGTTGTTGTGATTTGGTGCTAATGGAAATGCAGTTTTCAAATATGTCAGCCGATCCCTGTAAACAATCCAGAAGTCAGTAATGACTGAGCTCATCAGGTTTTCTTCAGTTTGTCATGATGTGAGTTAACTGGGAGGCTTAGAGGTAAAGTTTGCCGTCAACATGGTCATCATCTCCTTCAAGGATGTCCTTGAAAGGAATCAGCCACGAAATTATGATTTAGTGTATCAAGGTTTATTTTTTCCAACTTCAAACCAACTGTGAATCAAGAGTGTAACCAGGGAAAAGACACAGAAAGCTTTTTATCATTTCTCAAACTTGTGCCTATTCATCTCCTCTGTCCTCATCCTTCCTTTGACATAGAAATCACTCTCAGGACACCATGTTGAAGGATATCTGCGTTCCAAAATGCACCTTGAGAAAAGAAGTGGCTTGATAGAGGAACTCTAATCAAGGTTTCCCAGATTTAACCTTTGGAAAAGTGTTTTTTCCTTCAAATTATAAAAAAGGTGCAGCACACAGCTGGAGTATACAAACTGTGGAGGACTCTAAACAATTTGTCCTCACTTCAGAATGGAAAGTAAAAGAAAAACAAGCTTAGGCCTTCAGCCAGTTATTCTTAAATGTATGGATAAATAAAGTTATTTTTATACTCTCCAATCAACAAAACTGTTGCCTATGTGAAGCAGAGTCTGTGAATGTAATATAGTGATCCAAAAGTGATCCCAAGGAACACAAGAGCCAAGGAAAAATGAAGAAAGGAAGCAAGGTGGAAATGTGAGAAATAAAAAGTGGAAAATAAAACATGAATCTGTCAGGAAGTCCAAATGAAAACTGTCACAATTACCAAGTAAAACAGGAAACAACTCAAAAGAAAGACAACCAGACTGACCCTAAACATGATGCAGAGAGAGTGGAAAGTACATACTCAGTGCAGTAGGTGATGTGGAATATGTTATGGTTTATTTAATTGGGTAAATCTTATTTGATGAGACCTAATTGTCTGTGTTATTAGCTATAATTTTTACACTTGCTGAAATATTAATTCAGTTACAGTCATTATTTAATCCA